AACCGAGTCGTGTTTTTTCGTTGTTCGGTTTTGCCACGTGCCGCGCAAAATTGCATGTTATGTTGCTCGCAGGCCTGTCTCTGCGCCGTTGCGAATGGAGTGGCGCTGTCTAGGTGTTCCCGCCCCGCGGCGTTGCCACGCGGCGACTATGACAGAACATTGGTTTCGTCTCCCAGGCGTTGCCACGCGGAGGGCAGAGGGGATTGGTATAGGTTCGGCCCGCGCGGCATTGCCACGTGATGAGTTGAGTGGACGTATACTTCTTGTTCGCTCCCCAGCTCGTTGCCGCGTGGCGAGTGGGGCGGGACAGTGATCTGGTTCACCTTTTTCAGGCCTTGCCGCACTGTGCTGCCATGCGGCGAGTAGCGAGGAGCAGCATGTGTTCCTGGCCCGGTGCCTTGCTACGTGCCTGGGCGCTGCCACGTGGCGGGTACAGTCGAGTAGTATGTGTTCTCCCATTTCCGAGCGTTGCAACGTGGCAGGGACAGTGGACCAGTATGTGTTTCGCTCCCCCATCGTTACCACGTGGCGCGCGTGAGCGGGCGCGCGCTCGCGGTCGGGCGGGCGGGCGTGCGGGCGCGGGTGGGTGGGTGGGCGGGCGTGCGGGGGCGCGCGCGGGCGGGCGGGCGGGCGCGCGGGCGCGCGGGCGGGCGGCGGCCGCGGCGGCTTCGTCGTCGTCATCGTCGCCGTCGTCGTCGTTGTCGTCGTCGTCGTCGTTGTCGTCGTCGTCGCCTTCCTCTTCGCCGTCGTTTTCCTAGTGAGAGCCGCGTGCCGAGTAGATTTTGGCGTTCGCTTTTAAGCGTTGCTGCGCGGCGCCTGTGAGCGGGTGCGCGCGCGCGGGCGGGCGGGAAGGAGCGCGGGCGGGTGGGCGGGCGGGCGTGCGCGCGGCGGGCGGGCGGGCGGGCGGGCGCACGGGCGGGTGGGCGGGCGGGCGGGCCGGCGGGCGGGCGGGCGGCGGCGGCCGCGGCGGCGGCGGCTCGACGTTGTCGGCGGCGGTGGCGACGGCGGCGTCGTCGTCATCGTCGTCGACGTCGTCAGCCTCGTTATCGCCGCCCGGCGTCGTCATCATCATCCGCCGTCGTCGTCGTCGTCGTCGTCGTCGTCGTCCTCTTCGTCGTCGTTTGCTGCGTTGGAGCCACGTGCCGAGTAGATTTTGTTGTTCGCCTCCTCGGCGTTGCCGCGTCGAATGCAATAGAGTAGCCGTTGTTCGTTGCGCGGTTTTGCCACGTTGCGCGCAAAGTTGTATAGTTTGTTCGCCGGCCTGTCGTGGCCCCGTTGCGAGCGAACCGGCGCTCTAGATATTCCCGCCCCGCGGCATTGCCACGTGGCGAATGTAATGGATTTTCTGCTTTCGCCCTCCAGACGTTGCCACGTTGCGAGCAGACTGGGGTTGCATATGTTCGGCCCGCGCGGCATTGCCACGTGAAGAGTTGGGTGGATTTATAATTCTTGCTCGCTCCCATGCAGCTGCCACGTGGCGAGCGAATTGGGATTGTACGCTTGTTCATCTCCCAGGCCTTGCTTCTTGGCGTTGCCATGTGGCGAAGAGAGAGGAGTAGCATTTGTTGCCGCCCCGCTCCGTTGTCACCTGGCGAGCAGAGCTGGGTGAGTTTGTTTGGCCCCGCAGGTGCTGCCACTCGGCGAATACAGTGCAGCAGCATCTGTTCGCCCCTCCACGCGCTGCCACGTGACAGGGAGAGTGGAGCAGCACGTGTTCCGTTCTCTTGACGCTGCCACGTGGCGAGCAGGGCGAAAACATGTGTGTGCCGCCTCGCAGGCGTTGCCACGTGGCGAGTCGTGGGGTGGAATAGTTTGCGTCTCGTTCCCCAGTCGCCTCCACCTGGCAGCTCGCGTGGAAGAGTCCCTGTTGTCCGCCCCGCAGGCGCCTCCACGTCGCGAGGAGAGCGGGGTAGCACCTCGCTTCGCCCCCCCAGGCGTGTGCCACGTGGCGAGTACAGTGGGATAGTTTCAATGTCCGCCCCGCAGGCGTTGCCGCGTGCCGAGTAGAGGGAGGAGGGGAGAGTAGGGAAGAACGAGGAGGGAGGGGGGGAGTAGGGAGGAGGCAGGAGTGAGGAGGCACGAGGGAACAGAAGGTGAGGAGAGAGGAGGGAGGGAGTAGGGAGGAGGGTGGCTTTTTTTGACTATACTTAGCTCGTTGCAAGTTAGCTTGAGCGCAGCGGCCAACAGGACTGGCACAGGCTGCACACGAGAAGCCCGAGAGCATGGACGCTGAGCTGCTTCCGCTCTCGTCCCGAAAACTGTCAGGAGAGAGGTATTGGCGCTGAGGGAGGGGAGGAGAGGAATCATAACGAGAGAGGAGGATATTGCAGCGCCGTGCGAAGAGAGACATCAGCGGCACCCTGCTTCGTTGCCCATAGTAGGGCAGCCCTCGATGCAGAGAGCAGTGCGAGGCAGGAAAAAGAAGAGACCTGCCTGTGAGTGCCTTCCGAATTTCGGACGGCTATTGAGAGCGAAGAGCTGGGCGGAGGGCCAAAATGGC